TGCTTTCTGCTTGAGAAAATGTCACAGGTGTCTGTTTTTGTGCGACTGTGTATGTAAAAGGCAACATAAGATTGCCAAATGGAAAGTCAGGTATCAGCTGTCGCACAACAATCACCTGAGGCAGTCAGACAGAAAGAGGAGGGGAAATTAAAACTGGAGGAGAAATCTTACTGGGAGAGTTGCTCCACAATGACTGTAATTACCTGCTCACCCCCCCGGTTCACTATTTTTAGATCTGTGGATGCAGATTTGTAGAAGGGGGATAATGTAATCCTGGACAGTTATCTGTGCAGCTCCTTAACCTTCTCTGTCTTTCTTTCCCTCCTCTCCTCCGCCTCATTGTAGATAAACCTACACTACACAATGAACGACCGGATTGTCACCCATCAGTTTCCATCGCTATGTCTGAATTTGGATAAAACTAAATTTATGGTATTTGGGAATCGTAGACTAGATAATAAACTTCAATTGAAAATTGGGGGAGCTAATATAGAACGAGTATATGAAATTAAATTTCTAGGTGTCATAGTTGATGACAAATTCTCCTGGAAATCTCATATCAGATATGTTCAGCACAAAATAGCAAAAAATATATCGATATTGGCAAGGGTTAGATATATTTTGGACGGGAAAGCACTACGCATTTTGTATTCTTCATTGATTTTACCATACTTAGAGTATGGCGTTGAAAACTGGGGAAACACATACAAAAGCTCACTTCAACCATTGTATATATTACAAAAAAGAGCAATAAGAATTGTGCATAAGATGGGGTATAGGGATCACACCAATGGAGCTTTCATACAGTCTAAATTGTTAAAATGTTTTGATTTAGTGGGATATAAGACTGCTGTGTTTATGTATAAAGCCAGGAACAATTTATTACCTGGTGGAATTCAAAAACTATTTAATGAAAGGGAAGGGGGATACAATTTAAGGGGTCAATTAAATTTAAAAATAGATGGAACATTGTGGGTGTGGTGTATGATTATTAACACTCTGTTATAATTTTTTAGTATATTACTTGTGTGGTATAGAAGACAATTATCTAAGTATGTAATTATGTAAGAATGTTAACACTGTTATATTTTTTTAGTATATTACTTGTGTGGTGTAGAAGAGAATTATTTATGAAGAGATACTGTTTGCAAACCAATGATGTAAGATGATGTCATGGGGTAGGACTGGATAAGTCTGACTTCTTCCTACTCCATTCAAGCATGTACTAGGTATAAGCAAATTGATATTGGATTAGCATTTGTTGGATATGTGTAAAATTATGTGTGTTGATATATCAACTGTCTTTACATGCTTGAAAGAATAAATAAATCAAATCAAAATCGCTACCTCGACAGCTGCAGCCACACATACAAGGTTCATTTACCAGCATTTTTTTTTTCAATCAGTGACTTAAGATGTGTTTCCACTACTGGACCATAACGAGTCACAGACCCAGTACTTCCCTTAACCATCACCAAGTGTAACCACACAGTCTGACGTGGTCCGTACTGCTTGGCTTTTTCACTGTTTTTAAACTGGCAGCTGTTGCACGTAGTAGTAATTGAAAGGTGACACGTCAGACACAGATTGTTTAAAAATGGCCCATGGTACAATTACACAATGGGAAGATGCTGATGGGAGCCTTATAGCATTGTTTCTCCAGATTGTAGTCTCCACTGTTTTTGAAAATAGTTTCCTTGTACAAACAGATACAACAGCTGCCTAGCTACACCTCATGTACCTGGACCTTGAATTTAGTACTATCTCTCGAGAGGTGTTGATTTTTAGTACCCCGACTGCTCCTCCAAAGCGAACTGCATGTAGTGGAAACACACGCAGTACCTGTGACCTGTGTTAATTGGCTCGACACAATTCGGAACGGTCCTCAAGTGGAAACCCCCATTACAGCCGCTGATTTAGTCTGAGATGTGGCTCAAAGCTACAGTAGAATCTAGTGAGTGGACATGGAGTTAAATAATAATCTTGTTCAGCTTTAGCAATGTTACTTTGTTGTATTTATTTTATTTAGTCTTTAAATTTCAGTTTGTTGTGACAGTTTCCAACATCAGACTTTGATTTGTGCAGGAATTAATGAATTCAGATGTGATGGGATTTACAGCACTGATACTATGACTAGTGTAGTGTTTTTCAAAAACAATTTCTTCACATTTTGGGCAACAATCTTTGAAGTGAGAATGGTTACAACATTCTCTATTGACACTTTAACCAGCTTAATTGCACCCGATTGGCTTTATTGACAACATAGATGCCATAACCTTTATACATTTGTTTTTGAATTTTAATGATCCAGCTCTCATTATTTAAGCTTCCAGATTCCACGTGTGGCTACATGATTTTTGTGTACACAGATTTTCTTAGTTTGTACATAATACAGTGTAGTTTGCAGAAGTTTTCCTTCCAGTATAGCGAGGCTGTGCCAAAGTATCAAAGTTCTTCTTCTGTGAAGCAGATGCAAAACTCAGAGAATGTACTGTGTCAAATTGATTTTTTGCATGTGTCACATTAGAAATAAAAGTCACAGAAACTGTTCACACTGGTTCATTCTTTCACACTGGTTTAAACTTAAAGGCTGTTATTCTGCATTTTTCTTATTTTGTAAGAAATCCCATGAAAAGATCCAAATCTCTATTTTGTGACTCTCGTCTGTGGCACTAGGCCCCAAGACTGTTGGTTTCTACTGAAGACTGAATAAAGTCACAAACATATAGTTTTATTTTCCAGACAGGCTCAGTGATGCCCTGAAACAGCCGGGCACTGCAGTCTTTAAGAAATCTTACTTATTACTTCATGGGGAATAGTTTCAGCTGCAGGACAGTGGAAGTGATGGTGCCCATGTTCATCCTAATGATGAGACTCAGTGGAACATTTTGGCTCATTGGTCTTCAGACTATGAACAGTTGTATCCTTTAAGCACAGCTGACAGACTAATGTACACTGCTTCAGTAGTAGCTTGTTTCAAAGTAGCAAATTCAACCCCCAAAGAAAAACTAAAAGGCAACAGATGTCTTGATTTCAACTTTATTCAGAATGTTGCCAACTTTGACTCTCTTGATTAATCAGGCATGAAATAGCCAATACTGTTATGACAACAAAAACTGTTGGAATAGATATACTTGAAGCTAAATCTGACACGTCCAGAGATTTAAAGGAAGTGTTGCATTTAACAGGAAGTCTTACTGGATCAGAAGGTGAAGGATCTTCTAGCAACAGCTCTGTACTGCCCCTCTGACATTGTGAACTTTTCATACAGAGTAGTTTGCTTTGTAAGAACTCCTCACTAGCAGCTAACTTTATTTAGTGGTTTTGGTCCTGAAGACAGAGGCCTTAGTGCGGGTCGAGTTGAATTTGGTCCTGTAGCCAGCAGTCTGACTGCATCATACTGATTAACTGGTTTTACAGATATTATTGCTGCAGTTTGTCAAATGCAGTGGAATGTCTGCTTGGGTGTGGAAAGTCATGGTTAACCTTAAACAGACAAAAGCCTTTTTTGTTAACCACTAGCCAACAATATTTTGCCACTGGAAAACAAATGCAGACCTCAGCTTCAAAGTGAAATACAGTATGTGGAGGGAAATGTACAGTACCAGTGTGATGTGGTATTTACAGACAGCCTTCACTCATAAGACAGTGGGTGAATCCAGTGATATCTTGGCTCGTGATGTTTGATTAGTAAGGCCTTTACAGTGTTGACACTCAGTGGTCACAAAATACAGAACAAGGGAAACTTCCCATTCTAAATCATAAGATGCCATGGTGATGTACACATCGCATTATATTTACACCATTTGGGAATTCATGCAAATGAGCCCTTGTTTTGTTCTTCAAAAGTTGGATATATTTTCTAATTACCCTCTCAAAAACAGACTGGCAAAAAAACTAGGGGAGTAGAGTCAGTCAGCTTTTAAGAATGATGTTTGGTCCATTCCTGGACAGCCCAGGAGCAACCATGAGACTGAGTACAGTATAAATCCCTGACAGTCAGACCTCAACGCTGCCATCTTCACAGAGGTCCAGAGAAACTCAGGATAACGAGCTCTTTGTCAAGCCATTTAATTTTTTTTTTTAAGGTGTATTAAAATAATAATGGCAGTGAAACCTAATAAAAAATTAACCGGTTTGCATAAATTACAAACTCAGTACACAACAATAAAAAATTAAAAGAAATGTAACAGTATGTAGTATAGTACCTGTAGGCACAGGGTCAGTCTGGTTTACAGTACAGCTATTGATATTTTGTGTACTCAGTGTTCTAAAGAGCATACTAAAATATAAATCCTCCTACAGTATTGTTCAATACTGTAATACAATAATAGCAGTACAATGTGACTAACCAGAATAATCCAGGTTTTTAGTATATTTTTTATTGCTACATGGCAAACAAGTTACCAGTAGGTGCAGTAGATTCTCAGAAAGCAAACAAGACCCAGCATTCATGATATGCACGCTCTTAAGGCTGTGCAATTGGGCAATTAGTTGAAAGGGGTGTGTTCAAAAAAATAGCAGTGTCTGCCGTTGACTGTACAAACACAAAACTATTTTGTACAAACGTTTTTGTTTCTAGGATTTAGCAATCCTGTGAATCACTAAACTAATATTTAGTTGTATGACCACAGTTTTTTATAACTGCTTCACATCTGTGTGGCATGGAGTCAACCAACTTGTGGCACCTTTCAGCTGTTATTACACTCCATGATTCTTTAACAACATTCCACAATTCATTTACATTTCTTGGTTTTGCTTCAGAAACAGCATTTTTGATATCACCCCACAAGTTCTCGATTGGATTAAGGTCCGGGGATTGGGCTGGCCACTCCATAACATTAATTTTGTTGGTTTGGAACCAAGACTTTGCTCGTTTACTAGTGTGTTTGGGGTCATTGTCTTGTTGAAACAACCATTTCAAGGGCATGTCCTCTTCAGCATAAGGCAACATGACCTCTTCAAGTATTTTGACATATGCAAACTGATCCATGATCCCTGGTATGCGATAAATAGGCCCAACACCATAGTAGGAGAAACATGCCCATATCATGATGCTTGCACCACCATGCTTCACTGTCTTCACTGTGTACTGTGGCTTGAATTCAGAGTTTGGGGGTCGTCTCACAAACTGTCTGTAGCCCTTGGACCCAAAAAGAACAATTTTACTCTCATCAGTCCACAAAATGTTCCTCCATTTCTCTTTAGGCCAGTTGATGTGTTCTTTGGCAAATTGTAACCTCTTCTGCACGTGCCTTTTTTTTAACAGAGGGACTTTGCGGGGGATTCTTGAAAATAGATTAGCTTCACACAGACGTCTTCTAACTGTCACAGTACTTACAGGTAACTCCAGACTGTCTTTGATCATCCTGGAGCTGATCATTGGCTGGGCCTTTGCCATTCTGGTTATTCTTCGATCCATTTTGATGGTTGTCTTCCGTTTTCTTCCACGTCTCTCTGGTTTTGCTCTCCATTTTAAGGCATTGGAGATCATTTTAGCTGAACAGCCTATAATTTTTTGCACCTCTTTATAGGTTTTCCCCTCTCCAATCAACTTTTTAATCAAAGTACGCTGTTCTTCTGAACAATGTCTTGAACGACCCATTTTCCTCAGGCTTTCAAATGCATGTTCAACAAGTGCTGGCTTCATCCTTAAATAGGGGCCACCTGATTCACACCTGTTATTTCACAAAATTGATGACCTCACTGATTGAATGCCACACTGCTATTTTTTTAACACACCCCTTTCAACTAATTGCCCAATTGCACAGCCTTAAGAGCGTGCATATCATGAATGCTGGGTCTTGTTTGCTTTCTGAGAATCTACTGCACCTACTGGTAACTTGTTTGCCATGTAGCAATAAAAAATATACTAAAAACCTGGATTATTCTGGTTAGTCACATTGTACTGCTATTATTGTGAGCAATACTGTAGGTTGTGCTGCTTGTTGTGTGAGTGGTGTTGTTTTACCTGGATTGTTAGTTGCACAAATCATACATGACTGACAATATTTCTGAGCATAGGTAGAGAACCCTTTTGTGAACCAGTGCTGTGTTATGATGCCAAAAAACTTTGCTATAAATACTCTTAGAAAAATCCATGTTAGTAACACATGACCACAGCGGTCATTTAAAATTCACAATTTAGTGAAAAGATTCCACGACTGTTCTGTAGGACTTCCAGTGTTTTTCTACCCGCACCTCTAAAATTTTCAGGGCATTCTGGGAGGAAGCATACTTTCATCCCTGCTACAATCCAGTACATAACCTGCCCCAAGAACACTAACTGTACTGCAGCATTGCTGATTTTTCAACAGTAAATACATATGAAATACAAAACGACTGCCAGCATCAGGCTGATAATGGATAAAAAGAAATATTTACAAACAAGGCATAATGATTTTTTGTTCAACATCTTAAGGGCATATGCATGCACGATTCTCAAGTAAAAAAAATCTAAAAGCGTGATCACACAGGTTTGAAGCTGACACGAAATGTACGTCCTGCTGGTTGCTAAGGTAAGGTCAAGTCTCTTCATATTAAATTACCTATAAAAATATATATAAATAAAAAGGTGAGGGTAGTGTGTTGCAAAAGCTGCAGCAGCGGTCAACACAGCTGCACAGACAGGATGAGAAAGGAAGAGGGTGCTAAAGGGAGAGAGCTGAGCGAACTAAGGTGGCAGCTGAGCACCAAGGAATCAGAGGAACTGCCTGTGGTCCAGCTCAGGATTCAGAACTGTGTGTGCATAGGACACATTCTATCATAAGACAAGCTGGTGTGTAAAGGGAGTCATACACGGTGCGTGACGTGCATCATCGCTTCAGGACACACTATTGTCCTATTTTCTCTGCATCGAGGAATCTCAAACGCATAAAATACTGAAGTACCCAAACATTTTTGGTAGTCCCGTGCTGAATTCACGCCACTCCCAGTGTGTGTTATGGGAGTCATGATGGGCCTAACAAGATGACCCCACGATGCAATGCTGCCTGCGTGCGGTGCCTTTAACGCCACGCACCTAGAAAGACCGTTCTCAAACTGAAAAGGGTGTGCATGCGCGAACTCTTGTAACACACACACACATCTTGTAGAATTCTCAGACTAGGCCATTGGTTTTAGAACTGAGGCCCTGTATAGACTTAGTTTTAAAATGCGTCTTAGACAAATGGATCACAAGTGGACAGCAAGACACTGTTTACACCTATCAATATAGGTGCGTCTCCAGGTGTCCACTGTCCCTGCTGCTGCAACACTTGAATATCGAATTCTTTAAATATCAAATGGCACAAAATACAGTTATTACTTCAGTCTGTAACCAGACAAGCGGCAGTAGTCTGTAAGCAGAGAAGCAGCAGAAGACAAGCGTCAGGTTTGCACATTATTATTATGACAGCTTTCACAGTATAATTGATGGATTTGTATTGGCTATTTCTCTCCATGTTTTCTTTCGCTGAGTGCTGGTGCACACTCACCAAAGCAACTGCCACGTTGTGCATTCTAGTAACAGTCTTGTCAGAGATGCATCAGGACGAATTACATTTACACTACAATGGTACGTGGTTAAATTTGTCCCAAACCACATCTGCAAGTGGTTTCAGTGACTGGATATCAATCTGTCTTAGTGGTCATTTACATTTGTTTTTAGCACAGTCCACTTGTGATCCGATCGCCCTGGATGCATTTTAATACCAAGTGTAAACGGGGTCAAAGACAAAGCTTGGTTCTACCGTACGTTATGAAAAAAAAAAGGCAGCCTGGGTCTAAACCCTCCAGGAGTTCTGCGTGCATGTTCTGGAATTTATGGGATGAACTACAACCACATCAAGGCTCCTAGGAGAGGAACTCCTTCTCCAGCTCAAAGACAGAGGAACTCTGTATGCGGCAGAGTGGGACAGTGCAGTCTCTTTTCTGACCCTCTGTGTCCATGTCCAGCAGGGAGCAGCCCACCCCCATCTCTGATGAGAGCACCATGTTTAAATTTTGTGCCGTCTTCTCTCCAGAGTAGTGGCCCAGGGAGTAGCTCTTGTTCCGCCCTCGCAGCAGAGCCCAGGCATGGGGTTTGGCTCGGAACGACACGGGCCGCGGTCTGGAGACGGCCTCACTGCCAGAGGGCTTCTCTGACACCCTATCCTTCTCCTGCTTCCTCTGTGTGGATGGAGGAGGCAGAGCAGGTGGGCCGTTGGCTGCAAACAGACATGGGAGATATATTTTTAGACCATAAATATATTTTAACTGTGTACCTGTGCTCAACCCCCCCGTTGTGTATTACTCACTACTGTGTTTGGTGGTGTATTTCTTTCTGCGTAGTCGTGTCTCTGGGTTGTGGTTGTTCTGCTCTGGTGGCTGGCTTTGGATTTGCACCGGTGATTCAACAGCAGTCCTGCCACTCTGGCCTTCTGTGGACGCTGCCGGGTCAGGTCTGCGTGGCTCTGTGAGATGACTGACAGCCACAGGCTCAACCTTCGCAGGGCTACACTCTGACGCCTCTGCCTCAGACGGTAAGAGACACTTGGTGGAGTTGCATTCCATGATGGCTGACATGGAGACGAGATTGACATGTTGGGTGGAGGTATGGTTCAATGAGGCCTCGTCTTTGCGGGAGCGACCGCTTGGTGGTGAGGTGCTGCGTCGGAACCGGGTTGCCCGCTGAAACAAACCCTCCTTTTTCTTCTTCTCTTTCTCCTCACGCTGGGGCTCGCAGTCTTCACCGGGGGCTGAGTTTTTGAGAGCCTCCCTAATGTCATAACCTAGCACAACTGAAGCCAGCAACGAGCCGCAGCCATATAGCACAGAGTCAGTCTTGCGATGAGCTGATGCTCGCTTCAGGCTGTTGGTAGGGGTGTGTTGTGGGGTGGTGGAAGTTGACGAGGTGGATGTAGTGGTATAGGGGTCGTCTGGCGTCTCTGGCGTGCCACCCTGCCCTGCTGCGCCAAACCCAGCATCTCCTGGCCCACAATACCCGGCGGGGATCTGAGACTGCTGCTCATCCCTCCACAGAGGTAGATCGATGTACACCTGGTTGGGAAATTTGAGCTGCTTTGGTTTGGAGGTGCTGTCAGGACATTCCTGGGAGAATGCCTCATCTTTACCCACCCCCGCTGAAAACAGAAGCAGAAATCAGGCATTGTAAACAAATGACTGATTCGCCAAATGAGCACCCTTTGATCGCCACTTGACAGCAAATAATTCCTTGTGTTTGTTTGATTAATCTGAAAGGACATTCATCCCTTTTGACAGACTGCTGTTTCCTGCGGTAAACCGTACTCATTTCCTGTTTTCTGTATTTGCACTGTGTTGTGCTTGCTTCCAGATTATTTAGGAATTAAACTCACTATTTTCTAGGTTCATCTGAAATTTTGAGTGACAACATACGCTTGCACCACTTAAAGCACTTGTTTTGCAGAAGTTCTTGCTAACTACCAAATTTAACTTGCTACTTTAGGTCGGCTAGTTTAGAAGCTAGCTAAGCTAGTAGCTTAATCAAGAGCAATGGCTTCCCCCTCTTCCTCTCCTCCTTTCTCTTGTACCTTTCTGCAGGTTGCCCTGGCCCTGGAGCTCTACGTCTCTGACGAGCAGTCACCAGCCACATCGACCTGATCAGTGTTTGATTGTTGTGTCTTGTTGCTTTTCTTCTTTTGTCTCTCCTCTATCCACTCACCCCAACCGGTCGAGGCAGAAGGCCACCCACCAAGAGCCGGGGTCTGTCGGAGGTTTCTTCTGTTAAAGGGAGTTTTTCCTCCCCACTGTCGCCAAGTGCTTGTTCAAGGGGGATTTGTTGGGTTTTCCTATGTAATAATATTGATAACAGTAAGGTCTAGACCTTACTTTGTAAAGTGTCCTGAGATGACTTTTGTTGTGATTTGGTGCTATACAAATAAAATTTGATTTGATTTTGATTTGATCCCTTTATAAACAAGCATTCAAAAACATTAATATCTTAAAATCTATTTTCAGAAAACAGTTATGTCAACAAAACATGCTGAGCAAACTTCCACAATAATCTCTCAACTAATAAAGAAAAACAAATGATCTTTAAACTTCTGAACAGTCTGTCACAATAGATTTTCAGCCCACCTTGTTCAGCAAACAGGGCAGCAAGAGGGACAGACTTTTGGGACTTCACCAGGCTGGTGGACCAGGGGTTGTTGCCGTCTGACAGAGGACGCACTCTGAAAGCGATGGTAAAACAGGCACAGATAACACGGTGAAGAAAACGAGACAGACTGTGTCTGTGGAGGCTTGTACTGCCATGTTTATAAGGACATAGTACAGTGCAGTGTAATAATATAAGACATGAGGATGCGGTTCTGCTGTTTAGGAACAGAAACCAAATGGTGGCCAGTCTCTGTCCAGCAGCCAGCGTGACTTAAAAATTACAAGTCTGCATTTTTCCGTGTGTGTGTGTGTGTGTGTGTGTGTGTGTGAGTGCATACACTCTACCTCTCAGCAGCAGCTGGCCTTTCTTTGCTCTGTACTGAACTGGGGCCCCAGGTTCTTCCTTTCTTCTTGATTCCCTTTTTCACATCATCAAACTCCTCTGGCCTGAAGAGGGTGCTGCGGCCCCATGTACGGTTGCTCTCGTCTTGAGTAACTGGGAAGGTTACAAATAAAACTGAAAAGGTCAGAAATAGTTATTATATGTTGTCTCTCCAACTACGAGTCAAAGAGCAGGTAAAATGTCTAACCACTTTCTTAAAAGGTGAAGGATTTTATATTTTAGTTAGATTGAGAAAGATTCAGAATGACTACTTAACTTTTCCAAAAAGCAAAAACCAAAACCTACAAGTTGTTGTTATAAAGGCTTCATATAGGTATGGGTTAATCACTGCAAAGTTATGAAAATGAGAAGGAAGGGAGGATCCACCAAACATGTCAGGGCAACAGACTAGGGCCAAAATTTCATTAACAAGGAAAATGTGCCAATTAGCAACATACCTGTATGTTTTAAAAGACAAGGCACCAATGATTTCATTTAAGAGAAATAGTATTAGATGATTCAAAACACATATGAACAACAGACTGGCCCATGTCTGTGGCAAGAAGCTCATCACCGTCACTTGCTTATTTGATTTTCAGGTTAGGTATAGCACCGATGAAACCATTTTAACCAGCAGCAAACACCATGGTCTATTATAACCCACACATCAGGAAAACCTGGCCAATCAGCACATACAATCCCTACTGATGGGAAGTTTTAGGCCCCAAACCCAATTTTTCCACGCAGCAATTGGTGCTGTTAATCCACACCCAGACCAATAGCTTGCCTTTCCTCCTGAACCCAGAGCAGGCTGTGAGCTCACTGGTAAGATCAACATCCTGTTGGTAAACATATAAACTGTCCCTCCTCATATGGGACGTCACTGAGGAGGGAAACACACACGTTACCGCATCAGCAATATGACAAGTATTGTTGACATGCTCCTAGCTTGTACCTGTTGTGCAACAGAACATGTAAAAACAGAAAACAAATTGGAAGGTCTGCCACAGCAGCTTTGAGTAAAATAACTTGTTGAGCATTGTATGTATAGAGGATTATATCTATGGACATGTCCACACATTTGGCCAAAATCTGAAAATTTTGCCATTTGAGGCAAAATATAAATGTAAAATGCAATTTTCCCCTATCAGTGTACCCTCAACAACCCACAATGGCAAAGTGAAAACATATTTTTAGAGTTTAGCAAAAAGGTGTGTGTGTATACATACACACACACACACACACACACACACAACTACACAGGATATACAGGGTAATAGAGAAATGCATTTCTTTATTCATGTACTGTCTTTTCAGTGCTGTTGTAGTTTTCTCTCCCACAGACCAAACAGCAGTGAATGTTCTTAGGCCACTTTACTGAACGTGGATTCCTACCAGTCAACTCCATTAGGACTAATCATACCCATAAAGTGATTCTGAACAACAATCCACACTCTCTGTCCGAATGCCAGGATTGACCATAAATGCTCAAGAGGAATTTGTCCCAGTTATTGCAGGGGCACTGATGCATGACTAACATTATCAAACTGTTCAAACAACTGGCTGACTGCTTGGGGCTCTGGAGCTTTTGTCCCGTGACTCTTGTCATTGTGGTCGATACTGTTCCCATGTTCCCAGTTCCCATGACATTCTCAGTGAGTTCATGTCATTTCTTCAGATTTATTTTACTTTTTAAATAGACAAATTTAATAATCTAGACCAGGACACTCACTATAGAAATGGAAAAAATAAAATACTCACACAGAGGTGGAAGACACAATCAGACCTCACACTAAGGAAACCTTGAATATGGGTAAAAAAAACAACCCTGAACTTACGCTGGATGGCTCGTAACCGGGGGATGAGTGTGGGACTGCTGGGAGGGGAGGAGCTGGTGCTATGAAGGCTCCGCCTCTTGTCCATGGAAGGCGATGCCTGCACGGTGATCTTATGCTGGAAGTCTGCAAATTGCAACATGCGCATACTGTATGGAGAGGTGCACTGCAGACATTACAATCTGAGAACAGTTAGAAATATCACACAATGTGTCCTTAAATGTTCAGCATAATGCAGTTCTACCACTGGCACACAGGTTTTTTTCCTATGGTAGGCAAATAATTAGATATTTGCTAACTTTACCTCATGAGCCTTGAAAAGAAAGCACTATAGATTTAATTATGGATTAAATGATATTACTAGTACACTGCTAAAACAGTAGATAGTGTATAGTTTAGACAGTCTCTGACAAGGGCTGGGACACAGCCAGCAATACTGCCTGTTAATCAGAGCTGCATGAAAATGCCCTGTGCTTAATGCAGGGTACCCACTAGGGATGTCAATGATTACTCAACTATCCATTAACTGCTGTTAAAAATTGAATTGATTAACTGACCATGCTGAAGATGGAGGACAGGTGGTGTAACTTTCAGAAAATGTACAGCAATAAATTGAGCTGTCTAGAAGCATGTACATTGTTTACTGTATTTAAAAAGATAATTAGCATGTTGTGTTGATAAAAGGACTACAAGAGGACCATTTCAAATATGAAACCAACATCCTATGAACAAAGTCAACCAGCTCTTCAGTCCGTTCATTCACCTGAGGGCAGGCTGATACGGTTTCCATCCTTCAGTTTAAGGCGGGAACGTTTGAATTTGCCTTTCCTCTTCTTCACGTTGGGCTTGTCTTTGTTGAGCTGGAAAATGAGGATGTTGAGCTCTCGCTCCAGCACGTTGATCTCCCGCTCTGCCAGCTGCTGCTCTCGACGCTTCAGCAGCTCCTCCTGAGACTTCTGTTGGAGAGCGGCCCGTGTCAGCTCCTCTTCCCTAGAGCGTAGCTCCTGGAGGAACCAGGTATTGAGACACTTACACGGTTAAACTGGCAGACATGTTTATATGGTTGTAATTTCTTGAGTACACTGACAGGGACAAAGAGAAGACTATTCTTTTTTGTTTGCCTCTGAAAGCGGCATGTGTATATTTTATAAGATCCTGTAGTGTGTAAAGTGTAGGCATAATAAGCTAGGCCTATATGTTTTTAACCAAACAGCATTTGATTGTATTTTTGACTGTAACAGTGTGTAACAAGATTGAAATATAAAAAAGGAAACTGAATGGCTACATTAACCAAACAGACAAATATGTGGCAGATACTTGATTAGACAATGTGAATGTGTCCAAAAGCTCTTGCAGACAAACATCTATGCAAGACAGGCAAGAATGTTAGCCATGATTCTACTGTACAACACACTGGTTTCAGGAGATTACTGCCTGCTGTTTCAGGCTGTGCAGCTAAACAGTCTCGTCTCCTCCCATAGCTTATTTTTTCTTCATTCCCTCTGTTTTCTCTTTAATTTCTTGCCAGCTGAGTAATAATAATCCTGGCTGAATGACTTCCATAAAGCCGCTTTACAGTCAAGTCCCTTCAGCCACCCACCTAGACTCCGATTACTGTGGGATGTTTAAAGGAAAACTGCTAATATGGTGGCTAATTCTACAAGTAATTTGATGAAATGTGTGATGGGCAAATGTTAAAGCTTACTTGTCTGGATTTATGAAAGCTTTACATGTCAAGCAAACTTTATGCGGTCTGTCATAGCGAGGAGATGTGGATTATACCAGCTGACTGTTGAAACAAATACCATGACTAATTGTAAATTACATAACACAAATACCCATGTTCAAAAGACAATTTCACACAGCCGGTGAACCTAAAACTACAAGTAGAACACATAAATCTGTAATGAAAAAGAATAAAAGAAATATGAAGCACAAATTAAATCTCTGAGGACACCATCACCACCACTTGTGGAGTTTTCAGTATCTGTGTCATTCATTCATTCAGTTCACCACTCATTTACCCAGCTCTGTGTACTAATCTTGCCATTTTTCCAAACACTAATTAACCCCCCTCTCTAAGCTAGAGACGGGGGACTTGCACGTGAAGCGGATTAAGGTCTTAACAAGGGGAAGTACACTAAAGCACACTGGCATTAATGACTTGTTCTGATTAGCTTGTTCACTGAAAGTAACCAATTAAATGTATTAGTCTGTAAAAGCTGTCCCGAGCGATATGGCATCGTTAGACCAAATCTTAATAACAGATTAGTCAACTTGTACATTAGGTTTCCAACTTCCCACACTTTGTGAGACAGATGAGAAGGAGCAGGAAATAAAACTTGCTGCCTGCCAGCCCTCATACTGCATGCATGGTTTAATCCCAGTGGCTATATTTTGGATGCTATATCTTTATCTGCGAGTCTCACCGCTCCGCCCTACCTTCTCTTTGGTCCTGAGCTCATCAAACATCTCCTGGATCTCCACACGCCAGTCGTCCTGCATGCTGTGGAAGGACTCCTGCGGCATGGTGGCCATCACCGCCTCCTCGATGGCTGACAGCTGCTCCAGGATGCAGGAGAAGGAGGGACGCACATGTGGGTCCTGGTCCCAACACTCTGCACACACACACACACATCATTACAAAGTACAATCACAGTCACCAGCATATACAAGTATTGTTTCATCTATGCTAACCTTTGACCAATGGAGAAAACTTGCCCAAAACAAATTACTTAGTAATTTAATTTATACAATTACTGCAGTGTTATTATGGTAAAAGGAAGATGTGTAAGATGATAATATTATTCAGTATAGTCAGTATTAACAATAAATACTTCATCTTATACTGGAATGAGACTTCCAGTAATAACATATACAGGCCTGGAGGCAAAGTGGTAATGAATGAAAACAAAAGAACCTAAATGGTTATCTCCTCAAAATTTGTCATATAAGCTCTGCTTTACACTCACTACCACACATGCATCTTATTAAAGAAGAACTACTGAGTAAAAGTTTTATTTCAAGCAGAATGCAACTACAGGTCAAAGGTTTCTGAGGCTACAACCTTTCTGATGAGTTCTTTTGAATGGATTTTAAAATTTTGCATTGTTCTTGATTTAAAAAAAAGACCATTCTATTGTTGGTTTTGCAATGTCATGTCAACACAAACAGGTCGGAGTTATATTGTTGTCTGACAAATGTTACATAGTGTCTGAAATGTTATTTCAAATATGCTCTCCTACATGCTGCAGGTATGCCATCTGCCTCTGTTCATTTACCTTCCATGAGCTTGGCGAAGGGTTCAGGGCAAGTGGAGGGGATTGGTAGGGTTAATTTATTGACTGCCACGCCGTAAGCGACAGCCAGGCCGTCTATACCTCGGTATGGCACCTCCCCTGTTAACAGCTCCCACAGCAAGACACCATAGCTGGTGATGACACACATAATAAAAAGAAAGCGAAGGAATATTTAACAAAGGCATGAGAAATTATGAGACAAATGAGAAAGAATCTGTTTGGCGTGTGTTGTTTGTCTTACCTCCAGACGTCACTGCCTTTGGAAAAGAGAGAGGACTTGATGACCTCAGGGGCCATCCAGGAGTATGTGCCCGCCGCTGACATTTTTGTGGTTTTGTGCCACTCCCTGGCCAGGCCAAAATCTGTGATCTTCAAGGTCTTCCTACCAATGTCGTCATTCTCAATCTTTTCAAGTAATAAAACTGAAAAGAGAAAGGATGGAGAAGGGATACAGCAAATTAGGGCCATGGAAGAGCCTGAGTGGGATGAGGGCAAAAAGCATAACAGATAAGGGTACTTGAGGGAAAAGGAAAACAAGTGGCAAGTGCTTGAGTGAAAAGGACAGGTGGAAAGGATTGGGGTAAAAGTGACCATGGGTGGGGGTGGGGTGTAGAGGAGATAGCTGCAAGATGAGTGAGAGAGACAGAGAGAAAAAGACAGGTGTGCAAGTGAGGATATGATAGTCGATATTCAACAGAGCCAACAGCGATGTGCATGTAATTTATTCCTGTAGAAAGAGAAGTACGACAGCGCCACAAAGCAACTGTCCTCGGGTCCTAAAACTGATTAACACATTAAAGACAGCCAGAACCCTCCAAACCTTCTGGTAACACTACACCTTGGCCTGAGAGTCCTGTCACAGTGATGTTGAGAATGTTTAAGTTTTTTGATCCTGTGCCACCCACAGTAACATTTTTCTAAAGATATTCTTGTTATCTCCTTGATAACAAGAAGCTTTTACCATGAGCTGGTGGATCAACAGCCAAAACTGACTCTTTGATCCTTTGATTCTCTTGGTATTATTTTCAGCAATTGTCTTTGTTTCTGCCAAGATCTCCTCACATTACAAACTGTCCCATTTCATTGTTTACGTGCAGTCCTACCACTGCAAGTCAATTTGAGCACATCAGCTGTGTGTGCAGAGAAACTAAAACACGAGTCTAAATGACCCTTTAGGTGGTGTGACACAGGAATTTTGGTGCAAGTTTACAAAGTTTCCAAGATAAATAGCAAGGATTCAAAAATATCTGAGTATTATTTAGACACCTACATTGTGTGATAAAACTCCATCCATCCATTATCTATACCGCTTATCCTGAATAGGGTCGCGGGGGGCTGAAGCTAATCCCAGGTGAAATTGGGCCAGAGGTGGGGTCCACCCTGGACAGGTCACCAGTCTATTACAGGGCTGACATGTAGACAAACAACCGCCCACACTCACACTTACTCCAATGGGCATTTTAGAGTCACCAGTCAACCTAAGCTGCATGTCTTTGGACTGTGGGAGGAGGCCGGAGTACCTGGACAGAACCCACGCAGGCACAAGGAGAACAAGCGAACTCTGTACAGAAAAGCCCCAGGTCAGCCTGGGCTCAAACAGTGCTACCCACTGTTTCACCGTGCTGCCCCTTGGTGTTTATATGTACTTATTTTAGAACTAACTGCAACCCACCTGGCATGGCTGAAATACATAGGAGGGGTGGAAATAGGACAGCTGTTAACTTGAAGAAATAGGAGGGTCAGCAAATGGCTTACAGACTTTGTGTATGCCTGAAATAACCAAACGTACCAAATTTCCTTCTTACCTAGAACTTGCCCACTCCCATGACTGCACAATTGCACCTTTCCCACTTTTTCAGACCAATACCTAAACTCAGGGAACTAGCCCTGATCAAATGCAGCTAATTTTTTCAGTTGAAGAAGCAACTAGAGCTGACAGGATTAGTTAATAGGATTAGTCAAATGACCTGAAACTATTTTGATAACTTTTAAGCAAACACGCACAATCTATTGATTGTAGCTTCTCAAGTGTGATATCTGTCGCTTTTCTTTTGGAGCATATGACTAAATTGACTAACGGAGTTTTGAACCGTTGGTCGGACAAAACAAGACACTTGAAGACGTCACTTTGGACTCTACAAAATTTTAACAGGCAAGTTTCACCATTTTTTAACTTTTCTAGGCAAAATAATTAATCAAGACATTAATAAACAGATTAATCAAATATAGATTTTTTTTGTTGCAGCCTTATTTAGCATCCAAGTTATTTTTCGCTTTGTTTTAATGTGCTAATCTGATTATCTTCAGTCATTTTGAGTCTACTGACCAAACAAAACAAGCAACTTGATGAAATCAATATGGTTTAGGAACCTCGGATGGTTATTTCTCACTGCTCTCTTATAGAATCAATTCTAATAAGTATTTTCAATGGGCCCGAAATGATTTCGAGCAACACTTTAAACTGGTCTGACTCTTGTGGGTCTCCACCATTAACTGTGGCACTGGTGCCATTACTAGCCTTGGGCACAAAGGGGATCCTCTACCCAGGCTGCAACAATAGGAATTCCATTACAAACAGGTTTCACTACACCAGTGATATACTCCTACTTCCTGCTGTCAAGTCTTCTCCCAGTGATTCCATAGATTCCTCCCAGCGGGCTCTGTAGGTTTATAATGACTTATGATGGGATAGTTACACAACCTAGAAGAACAGTGGTTTTGGGGTAAACCCATCTGTGTTGCTTGGCCTATAGAATATCAGGCCAAATACTTTCTTTGTAGCTCCATAATACTTCAGTGTCAGCCCTCTAGAAATTTTTCATAAAAGACCTCGCTCCTCTCTACATGACTCCGTGCTGATATTATGCTACAAAAACACCTTTAAATAGCAGTCAGCCATTTTGTTTGGCTACTGGAGTCTATTAGCAACTAAGCTAATAACACAAGCGCACTATATAGTATAGCCACTGCTGCTTATCTTGTGAGTCTGTTGGTGTTTTTCCATCAGCACGGGTCAGCCCACTTTAACTGAGCTGGGTGGGCACAGGTTGATCTATTTCCATCTGTTCCTAGTAGCAGGGGTGACTCGGGGTTAGTCTGCCCCGCTTCTACCCAGGGCTGACTGGGGCTGAGCTCTGCCTTCAATAGAACTGGCTGAAACGTTGCGCCGAGACAAAGTGTTTACATTCAGCATTGATGATTTTATCCGTTATTTCACGGCAGTAGATTTGAAAATGGATTCTCTTGCTTGGTCTTCTGATGAGAGGTTAAAATAATGCCTAGCACTAAGGACTCCACTTTGCAAACTTGCAACACCACACTGAAACCATGAGCTCTGTGTCACTTCTTAGCGGCTGGCGCCACTCCCACGTCATCAAGATGAGAAGATAATGCATTTTACGGTGCAATGGAACCAACTGCACCGACTAGTTAGTAGCTCAGTATGGCTCCACCGTGCACGTCTCAGCTTGGCAAGGCTGGTCGGTGCTGACGGAAAAACACCATACGGTTTGTCAAGTGTCTGATAAAGTGTTACTCATCATTCATTGTATAAAGCTATTCAAGCATACAGTACATTTATAAATAAACTGTGAAACAAACATATTTAATTAATCTCACGAAATGAAACAGGCAATCCAATTAAACAAACAAGAAACTGCTCAATTTTCATCTTATTTCCATTCTGTGTTCAATTCATGGCCTGTGAATAAGGCTGATTATCATTATCATATTTAAGTGACCCTCACAATCTTGAGCTATGCCCATGTTTTCTGAACTTGAATGTAGGGCTGCAGAGAAATATTATTAACATTACTGATTATTGAATGGCCAAGTAATTTCTTTGGTCATGTGATACATCTGTTTGCCTATAAAATAACAGAAGCTAGTGAAAAGTGCCATTTTGCAAAGTATTGTTTCTGCAATACAATTTAAAATTGAACAAGAAACATAATTCGTGACCACAATCAACATATTGTATACTATGCACAACAGCATTGAGTCCAAATCAAGTTGTAAATGTGCAGGACGAGGAAAAGTATAACCCTACTCTGTTCATCAGCCACAGTTGATAAGAAAAAAGCAACAGTGATACCAGTTTGCTACGCTAGACATCCCCGTTAAATATCATGCCTCCAATACAGGATGCCAGTATCTGTGTAAAAAGAACATGGGGTTGAATTATGCCATTTTTTTTAGTTCAGTGTAAATAAGCAAAGCCACAATAAAGACGGGTCATCTTAACACCAATATAGCAGAATCTCTAAAAGAAACTAATATCTGCAGATATATAGAAGTGCCTGTGTCAGTTATGACTACCCTATTTACAGTTCATTTCCAAAGAGCTGAAATTGGCAGCTGGACTTGCATTAGGGTCTTGAAGACATATAAACTCTCATCTGGATATACCCTGACCTGGATGAATGAGAATCTCCACAAACCTATAGCTTTGATTATTAAAGGCTGTTTATGATGTGTGAAATATGTTTGTTGTGATAAGATTCTCATTTGTTATTCTTTTATAAATTAGACATCTGCATTACAGATGTCCTGTGATACTTTGTAATCACTGTCCTAACATCCTGTCATGTCTGAAAAGGTTATAACGCACATTGTTTTTCTTTCTCGCAACTCTACTGCTTTTTCTGTCTACATTTCCTTACTCTTTTGAAAAAAGAAGATGTTCCGAAGCAGACAACAGTGCAATGCAACTGGAGATGGATATGCCTCTGAGGCAGACCCCACCCTCGGTCCAACCCCAATCTAATTCCCTTTCCAACAGTGGATTTGCAGGCAGACCCATCTTTCATGGTGGAAAAGTAGGAAGATCAGAAACAGAGATGCTGCCTTCAAAGCAGGTCCCACGCTTCTTCACATTGCTTTTTCGCCCCTCAAGGTAAAAAGAAGAATGCACCTTTTGGGCAAACATGGCCATTTGTTTTCTCCTCAGCAAACTAAAAATACCTTTAATTCATGAACATCTGCAGCAGTTGACAAAATGTATCATTCATGTTTAGTACTTTCACAGTGTTAGAGACAATTTGGCTACACATAAAGTATTTTATACAAGTCATGCAAAGGAACATGCACAACCAAGAAGAAAAGGTCTTTAAGCAGTCGTGAGCAATGCATTTGCAAACCACTACAAAGCCAGTTACATTTTAATATCTTTGTCTCTTCAGCAACAACACTGTGTGAAATCATGCTCCAAATTTGATAAAACCTGTTAAACCATTTAAAATTATTTACTAATCTACTTCAAAAAGATTTTTAGCTTAAAGTGGTCACTTTTCAGCATAGTCCTGAGGCTTATTTTATGTTTTAGTGGCATAACTAAGCACTGATGCAAAATGTTTGCTGTAAGAATTCCGAGTGCAGGCTCCTAACTTAATGCAACAGTGTTTCCCTAACTGTGCCAACAGAC